GGTTTTCCCTGCCTTGTGTTCTCGTTCAGACCATTGCATTTCTCACTCCACTGTCCCTGATCTTCCTGGCCAAGTTTCTGAAGAAAGCTGACACGACCGACAGCAAGCAAGCCTGCCTCGGTAAGTAGCCCTTCCGGGTGTTCTGGTGCTGGCAAGTAGCTGTGCGGTGCAGTCACTGGAGCCTTGTGTGACCGGCACGAAAACTGTGTACCCCCTAAAGTATGTCCTCTTACCCGACTGTGAGAACTCGGTTAATACAGGCACCACCGCTGGCTTCTCGGTGCCCCGGGACCATTTACGGAAGTTTTCTAGGCACGAGGGCCACAGCTGTTTTTGTGCTTGGTTCTGGTTGGATTCAACCTGGGAACAACGGGGGTTCTTTTAATGTGGCGCAGTTGCTCGTCCCCAGGCAGACAGCACTAACCATTTCTTTCCCTTCCAGCTGCTAGCCTTGCCCTAGCTCTGAATGGTGTCTTTACCAACACAATAAAACTGATAGTGGGGAGGTAAGTGAGAACCTTCCCGCAGGCAGCCTCCATCATCTCAAGCATCTTTCCCCCTTATCCTCAGACTAATCTTTCTTTTCTCACCCAGAACGCTCCCCCTGCCCCCAGCCAGTCCTACCTGTGATGCCTAACCTGTGTCCTGTCCTGACTTTCCTAGGGCAGCCTCCAGCCTCCAGAAGTACTTCAGAGTTAGCTACTCTTTTCTTTTTTAAACGTATTATGTATACAGTATTCTGTCTGCATGCCAGAAGAGGGAACCTGATCAACTTACAGATGGTTGTGAGCCACCATGTGGTTGCTGGGAACTGGAAGAGCAGCCAGTGCTCCTAACCTCTGAGCCCTCTCTCCATCCCTGAGTTAGCTACTCTTGTGCTGAGATGTAATTGCTAGACTTTCCCCTTAAACGTTGCCCACGTGGCTGAAGCTTTTTTCTCAGTATAAGGACTGTCCTAATCCAGTTATATTATTTTGCCAGGACATGACTAGTAGTTAAGAGAATTGTTGGCATCTACTATAACAGAAGCATGCTTTCTGGAAGAGTAAATTATACGTGCTTATGCTATGCTTCTTTCTTCCAGACCACGCCCAGATTTCTTCTACCGGTGCTTCCCCGATGGGCTGGCCCATTCTGACCTGGCCTGCACAGGGGACGAGGATGTGGTGAATGAGGGCCGGAAGAGCTTCCCCAGTGGACACTCTTCCTGTATGACCCTCAGATGAACTATGGCAATACTTTTTATTTATGGATATAGGTGTTTTGTTTATTTATGGATATAGGTGTTTTGCTTATATGTGTGTGTACATCCTATAGAGGCCAGAAGGTGTTAGATCCCCTGGAAATGGAGTGACAGTTGCCACGTGAGTGCTGGGAACCGAACCTAGGTCCTCTCAAAAGCAGCCAAGTGCTCTTAATTGCTGCTGAGGCCACTCCAACTCCAATATGTACTTCTAAAAATTATTACATTTAACCGATGAAGCCTTGCTGGAATGAGCTGTCTCTTAATAGTCATAAAACGTCTTTATTCAGGGCAGGAGGTGGTGGTGCATTTGGGAGGCCGAGGCAGGCAGATCTCTGTGAGTTTGAGACCAGCCTGGTCTATAGAGCAAGTTCAAAGACAGGCTACTAATGCTCCACAGAGAAACCCTGTCTTTATCCAAGAGTTACTGCGTGTTGCTGAGCATTTTAGGTTCTCACCTGCATAGCTCCCAAGAACCCAGTAAGGTATTATTCCTTTTTTGGATTCCCACTTAGTTGAGGAGTCTACATACAACACTGTCCACAGTAGTAACTGTACTATGGAAAACTCTGAGCCATCAAGAGGTAAAGCCTGCTCTTGTTCTCACCCTCCTGTCTGGACACGAGTGGTGACTCATAGGTCTTCCCTGTTCTAGTTGCATTTGCTGGTCTGGCCTTTGCTTCCTTCTACCTGGCAGGGAAGCTACACTGCTTTACACCAGAAGGCCGAGGGAAATCCTGGAGGCTCTGCGCCTTCCTGTCGCCTCTGCTCCTGGCAGCTGTCATTGCGCTGTCCCGCACGTGTGACTACAAGCACCACTGGCAAGGTAAGCGGTCATATGCCTCAGGAGTTTCTGCTCCTTGTCTTAACCCTAGAAACTGGCACAGAGGAATGAATGGCTTCCTAGTGTCTGCCGAATGAATGAGCCAGTGAGTAAGTGTAGCCAGGCTGGGCTCTGTACCTTGTCACAGAGGGACCAAAGGTAACTTTGGGGCCAGCAGGATGGCTCAGAGAGAGGTAAAGAGACTTGTACAAGCCTGGCAACCTATGCTTGGTCCCTGGACACATGAAAAGGTGGACAGAAGGAAGGAAAGGATTCCAGAGTTATCCTCCTAACCCCACACGAATCCCCATGCACACGCACACACAAAATCCTTTGCAATTAACTTGTGTATGGTGTATGTGCAGGTTCATGTACCCCAGTCATGTGGGGAGCCGATGACCAGCAAGCACCAGTAATCCTCTCTGCCCTTACAAGTGCATGAACGGCCACTCTCAGCTTTTCATGTGGGCACTGGGGATTTGAACTCGAGTCCTTTTGTTTACGGAAGAAAATGCTCTTACCTGCTGAGCCAGCTCCCAATCCCAGCTCCTGTGAAACAGTGTAACCCTGGGTGGCCTCCAACTCAAGAGATACAGCTGCCTTTGTCTGTCGGGCTAAAAAGTGTGTCAGCGTGGCCAGCCCCCTTAATCTTTAGGGTCTCCCCCTCTAGCTCAAGCCTCAGTCTCCCAAGTGTTGGAATCATTAATTGTGTGCCACCATTCCTGACCAGAATCTTGAAACAATGAAAACCAGCCAATAATTAGACTCCCATGAATATTTGTTACTCTTCTGTTGTAAAAAATAAAAATAAAAATTCTGACTTGGGCTAGAGAGATGGCTCAGTAGTTAAGATCACTGACTGCTCTTCCAGAGGAACCTAGGTTCAATTCCCAGCACCTACATGGCAGCTCACAACTGTCTGTAACTCCAGTTCTAGGGGCTCTGACAAGCTCACACAGAATATATACAGGCAAAACACCAGTGAACATTAATAAAAAAATTCTAACTTGCTGGGCGGTTAATCCCAGCACTTAAGAGGCAGAGGCAGGAAGACCTCTGAGTTTAAGGCCAGCCTGACCTACAAAGCAAGTTCCAGGACAGCTCAAGCAGTTACACAGAGAAACCATCTCAGGAGGAAAAAAAATCCAAACTCAGTCCCTGTTCTGATTTGGTGTGTAGAGAACAATGTGACTAATAGTCTTATAACTATAACATGGATTGATGGTTTTTTTAGCCTCTACAAGCAGAGTAACCTGGAGTGCCAAGGTCACTCCAGAGCTGTGTAGTGTCTAACATGGTTTTTAAAAAGACCTATTTCTCTCTCTTCAGATGTACTAGTTGGGTCCATGATTGGAATAACATTTGCGTACCTCTGCTACAGACAGTACTATCCTCCTCTGACTGATGTGGAATGCCACAAACCATTTCAGGACAAGCACAAACTCCCCTCTTCACACAAGAAGCCCAGTGACTCTCACCGCCTGGATATCTAGCTGAACCTACTACCTCAGCGGAGGACAAACAAATCAGTTCTCCCACCAAGCCAAGAATTTCTGGCTCTTACCTCTTCCAAGGTAAGAGTGAGGGCATGGCCACACTGTACACCTGCCCCACTTCCAAGGCTAGACCCTAAGGATTCCCTGCCTGGTGCCTGTTCTGGCAAGGGGCTCTTGCGGGAGTTCTCTCACTGGGTTAACGAAGCTGGGCCATAAGACTGGTGTTCCAAGACCTAGGATCTTTACATATATGTAACTGTCACTCAAGAGAGCTTTTCACAAAAGGGACTTTATCCTGAAGACTTTATTGCCAAATTTCTCTGTCCCTTATAAATAAGGGCAGTGCCAGTAAAACATTGTTTACTTTTTTGTGGTCACATTCCATTAAGCCTTAAATAATAAAATGCCAATTTTAGCTAGTTTTTACTTCATCAGGAAAGAAACTTTACAGGTGTTATCTGGAAGATAAATGCATCTTTCTCTGAATTTTGTTCACAAAGAAATACATGGAACAACTATAGACTAGCATCAGAACTTGCTACTGAGGACTACCTAATAGCTACCTTTTTTGTTATGTTTTAAATAAAATTTTGTCTTATGTATATCTTCCTACAGCATTTTTTTTTTTTTTTTTTTTTGGTTTTTCGAGACAGGGTTTCTCTGTGGTTTTGGAGCCTGTCCTGGAACTAGCTCTTGTAGACCAGGCTGGTCTCGAACTCACAGAGATCTGCCTGCCTCTGCCTCCCGAGTGCTGGGATTACAGGCGTGCGCCACCACCGCCCGGCCTTCAGCATTTTCTTTTTTTGTTTGTTTTTTTGAGACAGGGTTTCTCTTTGTAGCTCTGGCTGTCCTGGAACTTACTCTGTAGATCAGGCTGGTCTTGAACTCAGATCTGCCTCCCCATCTCCTGAGTGCTGACCTAAAGGAATGTGTCAACGCAGCCAGCTCTTAACATACTCTTAAATATATTTTCAGTGCATTTTCCCCCTCAGGAAATCTGACAGTGAAATAGAAGTGTGCTTGGGTTTTCGTACCTAAGGACTATTCAGGATCTAGGAGATCAACACTGGACTCTTCATCTGATCTGTGTGAGTAACTGTAGAAATACTTATATTTGCTACACCTTAAATTCGGAGCTGTATCTCTCCATGACAATGAAAACATTAGTCAAGGGAAAATAACTTACATATTAGCTACTTACCTAAAATTTTTGTTTGGAATTCAACATGAGAAAATAATGGGTGGTGGTGGTGCATGCCTTTAATTCCACACTCAGAGGCAGAGCTAGGCAGATCTCAGTGAGTTTGAGGCCAGCCTGGTGAGTTCGAGGACAGCCAGGGCTGTTACAGAGTAACCCTGTCTCAAAAAACCAAAAGTAATAAAAGAGAAAATGGCTACTTTGTTTTTTTCTTGATAGATAAGACCACATGAAAGTAAGTAACTGGTCAGTTTAGTTTTATTTCAGCATTTACTAAAGTCTTAAATATAATCACATATAAAACAAACATTTCAAAAGTGCAAAATATCAGAAAGGTAATCAGTGCTATTCCTCATCTTCCCTTGAAATGGTCTAACGCTGCAGTCAGGAATCTGGACAAAATGCTGTTACACTAGCCTTTAAAAACAGCCTTGGTCAGCACATTGTACATGATACAAAGGATGCAGGGCAAATGCCCTGTAACTAAACTCAGGCTCCTTGCCTCTTTCCTCACTGTACTCCCGGACTGCCAGGGAGAAGCATGGCGTAGCACAGTGGTTTATCTAGCTCTCCGGGGCCATGCTGCCCATCTTTGGTTACAAGAAGTCATTCTTGGTTGTACTTTGGTTTACTCTTAAGTAGTAACAATTCTGCTAACAAGAGTAAACAAATCTGAAGATGGTGATTTGACAAAAACCCTTTAGTATTTAATTAATACTACTTAATTCTCAATAATTCCTATCCAAGAGATACTGGGGGAAAAAAAGTAAGCCAGGCAAATGGTGGTGCAACCTTTAATCCTAGCACAAAAGAGGCCCAGGCAAGTGGATCTCTGTGGGTTCAAGGCCAGCCTGGCCTACAAAGTGAGTTCCAGAACAGCCAGGACTATTTTACAGAGAAACCCCATCACACCTGGCACTTCTCAGTAGTTTGCTTATCCAGCATTATCCATAAGCAGAAGGCTAGGCTTGACTGTATCCATGCTTGCCTCTGTAACCTCCAGGGCACAGTGATTAACCTCCTTTCTGTTCTGTACCAAAAAGGGTACAGACTGCTGCTAAGGGGCAGCTTCTATGAGTATTAAATACAGAAGATTCTGGATGCCATGATAGGGCTACAGAAAAAAAGAAAAAAGACAAAAATCAAAACATAGCTTACCTCCCCTGCCACTCTAAGAAACCTGTGGAGATCTGAGGAGCACAGAGGACTATCAGAGAAGGAGAGCACACACATGCTGAAGAGGGAGGGAAGCCTAAAGCTGAGCAGATACCTTGGGGAAAGCTTAGCATGCAACCATTCTTGTTCCTCAAGATAGATTCAGCTACAGGTGCACACAGCTGCTCCTCAGACCCTGTATAATAGGTTCTCTTTCAGAATATGGTCTTTCCCCTGCTAACCTGCATGCTCAACTAATACTGACTGCCAACTCTAAGTAAACATTTTGACGAGACCTTGGAAGGCAAGGTTGTTTCCATCACAATACTTCCTTTACTCAACTAGTAGCAGGTGACTTAAATTGGTGCTACAACAAGATCACATCTACAAATGAACAGTTGGGATGGGCCACATAATTGACCAATCTTACAACTTCACCTTCAAGGTAAGTATTATCAAAGAACTTACTCAAAGCGCACCCCCGTGTTGAAATAAGAGCGGCAGGGCTGCGTCCCCAACACCCCGGCCGCTTGGCTAGCTCATGCCCGAAATAACAACACACAAACTGTATTCATTTAAGAACTGCTTGGCCCATGAACTCTAGCCCTTACAGGCTAATTCTCGCACCTGGACTAGCCCATTTCTAATGATCTGTGTAAGCACCCCAAGGAGCGCTTACCGGGAAGATTCTAGCCTAAGTCAATCGTGGGTTGCAGCTGCCTGGGAGAGCAGAGCATGGCGGCTGTCCGGTCCCTCTGGAAGCAGCACAGAGTCTGACCTCACTTCCTCTTCCGCCCAGCATACTATTCTGTTTTCTCCTCCCCTCTATGTTCTAACCTATCAGGGCTAGCCAAGCAGTTTCTTTTATTGCTCAGCCAATGAAATCAACAGGTTGATATGACACTCCCACATCACCCCCGTTGGGAATATGGTGTAAAAGGGCAGGCACACAATCCACACCACCTTCACATTTACAGAAGCTGAAGCAGTTGTAAAAACAGAACAGCACCAGTGAGTCCTACAGTAAGCTTAGCTGACAGTGTTTAGAGCAAACTATATTTTTAGTAAGCTACAGTCATATCTTCATATAATACACACAGGAAAGAAATGCTGGCTTAAAAAAATAGCAATTATTTCCATATCCATTTATGCTTAGCCTTCCTTCCAGTGCAAAGAACACACACAAAAAATGACTGGACCCCAAGTACCTTTAAATCTTAAGAATATGCTCCCACACTGGTCCATTTTCTAAAGATAAAGAGTAAACCTCTCAAATTTTTCTGAGCCCCCTAAGTAGACTGTGTTTCTTTCCATGTAATAAAAAAGGAAGTGCTGCTTAATGTTAAAGCATTAAAGGATGTAAATGCCTTAGCTAAAAAAACTAGTGAGTGTTTTTACAAAGCAATGAGTCTTCCTTTTGCTCTCCACTAATTTCCGAAAAGGATTATCTTCTAAAGGTCCTGTGGAGTAAGAGGCAGGCAACATGCAGGACTTGATGGCGTAGCTGCAAAGAAACCTGAAGCAAAAAGCACGTGGATTTTCAGCTAAGGCTCCTTCCGTGTCCATCTAAAGGAGACAGTGGGAGAAGAGGTCACCATGTAGTTCAACCTGAAGGTAACCAGTGCGCAGAGAATCCACTGTCTAATACAGGCTCTTCAGGATCCCAAGCACAAGATAAAATATACACTAATCCCTAAGGGGAGACTGGATGCTTCCTGTGAGTTTAACCAGCCCTCCAAGTGAGTATTCCCCTAGATGGTGGGGATGTATATACATCTGGATAAGAGCTTGAGGCTCCAAGGGTCACATGTAAACATTACACTGCACTGAAAACTTACATTAGGCAGCCAGACAGGCCATTTTTACTGTAAAGGCTGATCAAGGGAGATGCCCTGGGTTTGGTAGATCTCTTTCAGAACCAGCAATACTGTATCTTCGGATTCCCTGTGTAGGAAAAAAAAAATTGAGAAAAGATGAAACGGTCCGGTGACATATGCTTTTCATTTATCTATACAAGTACCTTGGATCTGTTTATATTTGACTGCTGCAGAAATATGTGCCTTGAGCTCTACTAGGTGGTAGTTAGCACTATGTCTGGCAGCAGGAGAAGGAGGGAGTGAGTGAAGAAGAGACCTCTCTCTAGCCCACACTCTCCCTGGAACTTACTCTGCAGCTCAGGCTGGTCCTGAGTTCACAGAAATCCTCCTATCTCAACCTCTTGACTGCCAGGATTACAAGGACAAAGCACCATGCTCAGCTCCACAAGGGCGCTCTTGAGATAATAGTGAGGAAGCATTTAGTTGGTCACCTTCATTTTAAGACTTTTACTTGCTTTTTGGAAAGGGCAATAAAAGATATGACTCAAAATTCTAAATGTATGAAATGGGGCTTAGAAATATGGCTTATGGCTAGATGGCTGAGCAAGAATGGGAATCTGAATTTGGAACCCAACACTCACATAAACAGCCAGGCTGTTTGCTTAACCCCAGCACAGTACGGGTGCTGAGACTTCCTGACCACTAGACTAGATGCACTGAGAGACTGTCTCAAAGGAACACAGTAGAGAATGACAGCTACATAGTGACACTGTCTCCAAACAAAAGAATTTACAGTAAGAAAAAACAAACATGACCTGGCTCTTTCTCCCACCTTGCAGGCTAATGATCTGTCATGACACAGGCTGGAGTCATTTGAGAAAGGGAGCCTCCACTGAGAAAATGCCCCACCAGGCTGGCCTGTGGGCAAGACTGTGATGCATTCTCTTGCTTGATGATTGATATGGGAGGGCCTAAATTAGTAGGGGTGATGCCACTCCTAGGCAGGTAGTTCTGAGTGGTAAAAAAAAGCTGATAGCATTTGGGAAGCAGAGGCAGGGGGATCTCTTGAGTTTGAGGCCAGCTTAGTCTACAGAGGGAGCTCCAGGACAGCCAGGGCTAAACTTGAAATGTCTATGGTTTACACATTTTAAAGCCAACAAATTGTTATGGGGTGGCGCCTCAGGAGGCAGAGAAAGGCAGATCTCTGTGAGTTCAAAGCCACCCTGGTCTATAGAATGAGTGTCAGGACAAGCACCAAAGCCACAGAGAAACGCTGTCTCAAAAACAAACCCCAACAAATTGTAATAAAATTGAAGTTGATAAAACTGTTGGAAAGGGGGGCTGGAGAGATGGCTCAGTGGTTAAGAGCATTGCCTGCTCTTCTAAAGGTCCTGAGTTCAATCCCCAGCAACCATATGGTGGCATTCAGCCATCTGTAATGAGGTCTGGTGCCCTCTTCTGGTTTGAAGGCACACACACAGACAGAATATTGTGTACATAATTAATATTAAAAAAAAAAAAACACTGTTGGAAAGGGTCTAGGGAGGATCAGTTTGTGAAGTGCTTGCTGAACTAGTCTGAGGACCTGGGTTTGGATGTCCAAATCTATGATCTCAGTTCTTGGGGAGGGAGGACCTATAGAGATAGGCCTATCCCTAGAGCTCAGTGACAAGACCCTGTCTCAAAAGATAAAGTGTAGACATCAGAGAAATGACACTCTACATATGTATCTGTGCATTGTATTCATGTGCCTGCACGCACACGTGTACACAAACATGTACATACTTCACACAAATGCACACAAAAATCTATTTTTAAAAAAACTATTTACAAAAAGCTATGGGGAAACACCCCAATATGTACATTAAGAAGGTGTAGAAATGGACAATGCGGACCAGCGAGATGACGCAGTGAGTAAAGCAGATCACTGGACCCCACCATACAAACACAAATAAATGTGACAAATGTTTTTGTAAAGGACAATCTTTTTTGAAAGCATTTTTTTTGGGGGGGGAGTTCAAGATAGGGTTTCTTAGTGTAATCCCGGCTATCCTGGAACCAGCTCTTGTAGACCAGGTTGGCCTCAAACTTACAGAAATCCACCTACCTCTACCTCCCGAGTGCTGGAATTAAAGGTGTGCACCGCCGAAAAAGCTAGACCAAAAAGAATGGCCTTTAGAGACGTAAAAGGAATGAGGAAACTCAGAAGTATCTATCGTATTCTCTACATTTTTAAAGAAATCTTTCATTTTCTTTGCTAGAAGAAATATTCTCTACATTTTTAAAGAAATCTTTCATTTTCTTTGCTAGAAGAAATATGATAGCTACATGTTGGGGGAAACTCGCTAGCAGGGCATGAAATGAAGGAAAAACTCTTTTTCAAAAAATTAGTCATCTTCCTTTGAATTTCAACCCAATCAGAAAATTTTTAATCCTTATTAGGAGGGGCCGTTCTTTTTGGTCTAGCTTTTTCAGCCTTGAAAACAGGGTCTCAGGTAGCCCAGGCTGGCCTCAAACTCAAAATACAGCAACATATGGCCTTGAACTCCTAACCCTCTTTCCTCTGTCTCTCAAGTTCTGGGACACAGGCGTGTACCAACATTTCTAGCTCTAAAGGAAGTATTTGTTGTTGGTTTGTTTTTTTGAGACAGGGTTTCTCTGTGTAACAGTCCTAGCTCACTGTAGACCAGGCTGGCCTCAGACTCACAGAGATCAGCCTGCCTTTGCTTCCTGAGTGCTGGGATTGAAGGCGTGCTCCACCTCTGCCCAGCTAAGAAAGTTTTTAAATGAAGTTTAATTTTGTAATAAGCAAACAAGCAGGGCCAGTGAGATGGCTCACTGTAAGGGTACATGCAACCAAGACTGATGACCTGAGCGAAAAAAAGGATATCACTAAATGTTTTTAAGGTAAACAAGCAAAACATTTTAAAGAGAACACATTGAAAGAACACATTGAAAGAGCATTATTTTAGCTCCTTACAATGACAGCTTTTGTTGAGTTTTAGTTTGGTAAGGACACAGCAATCCTCCTAGAATACTGGGATTTCAGGTGAGCATCTTTCAAAAACACTTCTCTGCCCCATCTTATTCTTTCTTTAAATATTTGTTTATTATGTATACTACAATATTCTTTCTACGTGTATGCCTGCAGGCCAGAAGAGGGCACCGGACCTCATTACAGATGGTTTTGAGCCACCATGTGGTTGCTGGGGATTGAACTCAGGACCTTTGGAAGAGCAGGCAGTGCTTTTAACAGCTGAGCCATCTCTCCAGCCCCCTTCCAGCTTTATTTCTGTTATCACTGGCAGTAAAATCGTATTGTTATATAAAATCTAGTAATCACCACTACTCGGATCTACGCTCCATCAGGCAATTATATTTAATAATATACCTATGCTTTTGCTATTATAAATGCTTTATTTTCTTTATCTTTCTCCTTTTTTCCCCCCATGATGGGGTATGAGAGCAGGATTTCAGTAGGTAGCTGCCTACACTCAAAATCTTCCAGATTCAGTATCAGATGCTGGAGTTATAGGCATGAGCAATCACACTCATCTCAAAAAATACATCTTAAAAATCAGAGCCAGTTAGGGTGAGGCTGGGTGCCAGAACTTCTGAGAACTGGCACTCAACTCTGGCAGAGCTGAAAGGGAAGACTAGATAAGGATACAAAAGAACATAAACACACACAAACACAAAACACTTACCAGTAGCATAGATGACTTTGTAAAGCAAATAAATATTCATTAAAACTCTCAATGGGCTTCTCCTGCAACACATAGTCAATGCGCTGGCCACCATTCAGCATTCCCACATTGATTGGAAGCTCTTCTTTAACTTCCACAGGTGTCTCTTCTGTGTTGACTTCTGAATAAGAAGAGCCATCATAAGATCCTAAGCACAGGACTAGGGAAAACTCAGTGGAGATAGCTAAGTGCTTGACTGCAAGCATGAGGAACTAGTTTGTATCACCAATACCCAGGCTCCCTCCTAAAAAGCTGGCCAGTGCAGCACATGCCTGTAATTCCAACACTGGGGAGGCAGACAGGAGGATCCCTGAGGCTTCATAGTCAATTAGAGAGCTCTAGGTTCAGTGAGAGATCCTGTCTAAATAAACTATAGTGGAAAAAGATGGAGAAAGACACTCTGGCTTCCACATACATGTATACCAACACACACACACATGTACATGTACACAAGATACATACACATACACCTAGAAGATTCAGCTCTCCTGGATTCACGTTTACCTTATGATGAGACACTCTGCTCAGAGAGCTCTTCCTCTCTGTCTTCTTCCTCTCAATTTCTTTAAAGCTCCTTGAAATATACTAGTTTTGTTCAATTTCTTCTTTTGATCAACACATCTCATCAACTGTACACCTGTAAGTCATGTGTCTTGAATTTTATAGACTCTATAGGGAACTGAGAATCCAAGCTAGTCTTCAGCAATGGAAATAAAACTGATACATAAACACACGTTCATCTTATAAAGCTAGCTACTGGGGCTGAAGAAGTGTCTCAGCAATTAAGAGCACTTGCTGCTCTTGCAAATGATCCAGGTCTAATTCTCAGCACCAGTACCAGGTAGGTTACAACTCCCTGTAACACCAATACCAGCAGATCCAATAACGCTGGCCTCTGAAGGCATCAGGTATGCATTTGGTACACACTCAATTCTCTTATGCATATACACATACATAAGAGAAAAAAAGGAACAGGGATGGAGGGTTGGCTAGGCAGTTAAGTGCACTTGCTGATCTTCCAGAGGATTGAATACCCTCTCTTCTGGCCCACACTGGCAGCTATACACACGCCCTACAGTCACACAAACATCATTTTTTTAAGTAGGTACTTCACAGAGTAGGCTTGTGGCCTTGGCTGTCCTCGAACTTCCTCTGTAGACCAAGCTGGCCTTAAATTCACAGAGATCACCTGCCTCTGTCTCCTGAGTGCTGGGACTATAGGTGTGTGTCACCATGCCCAGCAGAAAGTAGGCATTTAACATCATTCCCAAATGCAAAGTGGGAAATGTTCTCAAGGGTCGTTAACGGTTTCTCTTGACATTTTTCTCATAGTATTTCCCCTAATTTTTAGCTATTAAAATGACAGGAAACGTTAGCATAGTTCAAGGACAGCTATGACTCACAGAATAGATCCTACATAATTAAAGGGGAAAAGAAGGCTCTGATTGGAACTCCACAGCATGCACCCCTCCTCAGGTAATCTCTACACAGTCACTGACCACTGGACTTTTCTGAACTTGATTCAGGTTCTGCCTCGGTTTCTTCTGCTGTTTCTGAAGCTTGTAAGGCAGGATATGGAGCTCTGGTGAAAGACTTCCAGGCCATCCGCAGTGAACCCAGCAAGTTATTCTTCAGGTCCATACTCATCCTGGTAAAGCCCTCTCTCAGTTCTGAAACAGTGAATAAAAGATGCTACGTGATGTTGCATTTAAGGCTCAGCAAAGAAAAGAATCAACTTCATTTAGTGTATACTCATCAGAATATACAGACTCACCTAAGTGCATCCGCTTCCTGCCTTTATGATGTGGGATCAGCATTGGCTCAAATTCTACTTCTGGGACCACCATTGGTTCAATCCTATATGCTACAGGATCAAACTGCATAGGAAAAATAACAGCTATGTATTTATCCCTAATAAAGAAGTCTGAGAAACTACATATCTTAGGTAAAAATATTTGTTTATTTTATAAAGAGGTACAACTATGGAGGGATGGGAGATGCCTTAGTCAACACAGTATTTGACCTGAAAGCAAAGGGCCCTGAGTCTGACTCCTAGAACCTATATTTAACAAAACAAAAACCCAAAAAGCTGAGCATAATGACAAATACTTGTAAATTCCAACACTGGAGAGGCTAAGACAGGAGGATCCCTAGGGTTTACTGGCAAGATCCAGGTCAGGCCAGTGGGGGACCCTGCCTCATTAAAAAAAAAAAAAAAGCAGACAGCATCCGACAAATGGTATCCAAGGTACACCAAGGTACTCTGGCCTCATACATATGAACATGCAGTTCTATCTAATTACTGCCTTGTTTGTTGTTTTGGTTCGAGACAGGATTTCTTTGTAGAGCCCTGGCTGTCCTGGAACTCACTCTGTAGACCCTGCCTCTGCCTCCCGAGTGCTGGGATTAACAGCATGTACCACTGCCAGCTCCTGATTACTTCTTCCTAATCAATACTACCATCTGTTCAGACTAAAGATTAATATAGAAAAAGCCAATCAATACACACAAAATTATATGTTTGTTAAGAAATCCTAGTATTTAGGTAAAACGATATAGCAGCTATTCAATGCTTACAGGATGGTAAATATTGAAGAAACCTTTGCATGTGGGAAATTTATAATTAGGATCAATTCTCCTTAATCCTCTAACAGTAAGAAACATTCCAATGGGAGATCCAAAGGCAAAGAATATTTCTGGTTTGTAGTTGAGCCGGGGGTATTTTACAGACACCTGGAAGGAGGGAAAAGGGCATTTCTCATTAATAGTGAGTCTTATCTGTTCCTACCCATATGACTAGTAATAGTTAAACAGAATATTTTTACCTGCCCAATGCCAACATCTAGATAGTCACCATTTTCCTTGGGGATGTTTTCCTCTGAAGCTGATGTGGCTGATCTATTAACACCCTGAAAAGAAAAAGAAGAAAAAAAGCTATGTGGAGATAGTATCCACTGGAACTAGCTGTTAATGTCTGGGTATGGTGGAGCACACTTTTTTTTTTTCTTTTTTTGGTTTTTTCGAGACAGGGTTTCTCTGTAGCTTTGGAGTCTGTCCTAGAACTAGCTCTTGTAGACCAGGCTGGCCTCAAACTCAGAGAGGTCCGCCTGCCTCCCAAGTGCTGTGATTAAAGGCATGTGCCACCACCGCCCAGCCAGAGGATGTCTTTAACTACAGCACTTGGGAGAAATTAGAGGCAGGCCTATCTTTGAGTTTAAGACTAGCTTGATCTATATATCAAGTTCTAGGCCAGTTAGAACTACACATTGAGACCATGCCTCAAAATAAATAAACGAATAAACGATGGAGGCTATACACAGCCATTTTGGTAGCAGCTGAAATTTCAGGCAGCCATCTGACAGTAGAGTATTGTTGCTAAGTTCTATACCAACCAAGGCAAATCCAATGTCTCTCTGGGTGCTGAATACAATTCCAATACTGGATCAAGACTTGGGTCTTATCAGATATGGTGGCGCACACCTTTGATCCCAGCACTCGGGAGTTTGAGATCAGCCTGGTGACAGTGAGTTCGAGGACAGTCAAAGATACATAGTGAGACAACATCTCAAAGGTGGGGGAAATTGGAGCAGGAAAGAGGATCAATTAAGCCCAAGAGTTTGAAAATAGATTGAATAACACAGGGAAACCTTATTTCAACAACACATAAAGCAAAAATTAAACCACATCTGGGCTTGGTGGTGCAAATCTATAGTCCCAGTTACCTGGGAGGCTTGAGGCAGGAGGATCTCAAGTTCAAATATTTGTGCCCTTAGTCTACAGAGTGAGTCAAAACCAGCCAGGGAAACTTACTGAGATTCTGCTTAGTTTTAAAGTACTTGCCTAGTGTGTGTAAAGTCCTAATTTAATCCCCACTATGGAAAGCAAAAGCAGCTGATTAGTTAGCGGAGTGTATATATCACAAAGCATAAGGATTTACTGTCACTGTCAAAGAACTGTCTCACCCCACTAGGATATATTAGAAACATACCATTGAGTTTCTTCTGGTTCTGAAATGGTTTAGAATCTTCTTTCTTGGTCCTAAGGGAATTCCCATTTCCTGAAGATCTTTTTCTGTACATAAGGCCTAGGCATAGAACACAAAACAGTTTTATTTATTTATTTATTTATTTTAAATTTCTAGGCAAAATAAAATCAATTAAATGTGGTAGACTCTGAAAGGAGTCACTCTTGTTCTTGGTTCACACTGATCTTGCTCCCTAAAGGCATACCACACAAGTAACTGAGAAAGAAAGTCTTGTCTTAGTCATAAAATAACCTAAGAATAGAAGTATTAGTAAAAACTACACTGTCAATATGATAGTAATTAATACTGTGTAAAAAAGAACTAGGAAAGTTAGTATCTAACGACCTCATGATGTCATTTAGATGTCACTTTCTCAGGATTATACTCCTGAGGAACATAAGCTGTGAGAACATGTGGCCAACAAAGAAGCGTAACACAACTGACTAACATCAAAATCTCAATGTAAGTGCCACTCATTTTAGCGGGGAGGGACTTCCTTCTTTGCATTCTTACACCACTGTGTACTTTTCCTTATCAGTCATTAACGTAATTAAGTAATGTACCTTTCCTAAAAAACAACCAACACTCAAGTCAGTGACCAGGTCCATCTTACTAGCACCCTGCTGCCTGTGCCTGATCAGAGTAGGCAGTTACTAAGTATCACCTGAGTGAACAAAGGTATTACAAACCAAAAGAAGCACAAGAAAACTGAGGAAAAGAAAACACCATGGAAGATCTTTATCCGCAATAGAAAATAAGAGTTGGGGCAGTTACTGTTCACGCCAGGGTTAGCGCTTGACTCACTTTCTCTAAGCTTAGCCTGCTTTAGATTACACTCAACTGCATGTGCATATCAATATGAGCAATGCTAAAGATCATCATTAGTGGTGAAATATTTCTAAGTAAAAAGCTTCCAAAAGGCATGTTCTTGGGAAAGATGAAGATAAAAACACTGAAAATGACTTGATATAAAATTTAAAGGCCTTTGCTTACCAGAGCTTCTTTATCAACTTTCTCTTTTTCAAAGACAGTGAGGAACTCAGAGAGTTGAAGTTTCTTCAGTTCTTCTTCTAACGTTGGTACATCTCCTTGATCCTCAACAGTTCTAAATGAACCCTAAAAATTGTATCATATAGCTTATTATTCACAAAATTCATTTAGTTTTCTTTTAATACTATTTTATAATTTGAAATGTATTATGTAAGATATTCACAATAATAAATCTTAACATTAACTACTTGGTTTTGTTTTTAAGACAAGGTCTCACGAGGTCCAGGATGGTCTCAAACTTACTATGTAAATAAAGATGTTTGTTTATTTATTTATTTATTTATTTATTGGACAGGGTTTTTCTGTGTAGCCTTGGCTGTCCTGAAATTCATTATGTAGACCAGGCTGGCCACAAACTCAGAGACCCACCTGCCTCTCCCTCCAGGTGCTAGGATTAAAGATGTGTACCAACATGCCAAACAAAAATGTATTTTTAAATTAATATCAGAATAATCTCCTTCATCATTAGCAAACCCTTACTGATCTCTTATTAAGAAAACATTATTTAAGAAATAAAACAGAACAGGCAGTGGTAGTATACACCTTTAATCCCAGCATTCAGAATGCAGAGGCAAGTGAACCTCTGAGTCTGAGGTCAGCCTGGTCTACAAAGCTAGTTCCGAGACAGCAGGGGCTACACAAACCCTATGTCAAAAAAAAAAAGAGAGAGAGGAGGAGGAAAGAAAAAGAAAGAAGAAACGAAACAGGGTCAGAGAGAAGGCTCAGTGGTCAGGAGCATCAGCTGTTCTTCCAGAGGACCTGGTTTCAATACCTAGCAGTCACAAGGCAGCTCAAGCCACCACCTGCAGCTCCAGTTCCAGGGGATCTGATACCTTCCTTCTGGCCTTGGAGGACACCACAAGTGTGGTGCACAGACATACTTGTGGGCCATACCCTCATACACATAGAATTTTAAAATGGGGATGGTGAAGCTAGAAACATGACTCAACAGTTAACACTTGCTCTCTTGTAAGAGGACCTGGTTTGGTTCCTAGCACATACACGGTTGCTTACAACCATCTGTAATTACAGTTCCATGGGATCTGATGCCCTCTTTTGACATTCAGGGGCAACAGGCACATACATGATATAAATACATACATGCAGGCGAAACAGCTATTAGGGGCTGGAGAGATGACTATTAACTCAGTGGTTAAGAGTATTTGTTCTTCCAGAGGACCTTAGTTCAGTTCCTGTCACCTACATGGTGGCTCACAACCATCAGTTCCAGGGGACCCTGCCCCTTCTGATGCACATACAAACATGCAGGCAAAATACTCATATAAAAATTAAAAAAGCCACACATATAAAAATAAATCTAAAAGACAAAAAAAGATATAAAATAGCCTAAGACAGAGCCCAAGGGTTCACAGTATACTTACACAAAAAGAAAAATAGAAGACAGTGTCTACTGAATACCAAATCACTACTACCATGATAAAATGTTCATGGGAGACTTTGACTGATGAAGAGTCAGGTTTCATCGTCATGTTTCCAGCTGGCTTCCAAACATGACTTCTGTAAGCCATCCAAGTCCTCTCCACATCCTTACACAATCTACAATGAACTCAATGGCTACAACTCTGTCCATGTACTAGTAGTGCATATTTACAGAGACAGAAGGCACCATACTTATTTCACAATATGGCAGTGATTTATAGAAGCAAAATACTGTCTTGCTTCTATCACCCAAGAATCACAATATTGATAATTACCAAGCCGTTAAAATAAATATACATTTAACATTATGGGATAAGACTAAACTCGGCTAAACACAAAGGTTGAAAACCTAAAAGTCCTTAGTATGAAATACTACAAGAGAACCTATCTAAACTTCTAAATTACCTTTTCACTGTCAATATCCCCAAAAGAATCTTTCTGATTTGTTAGGATATCAAACAATATAAGCGAACCTATAAGTAAAATAGAAGAAGGAACAATTTCTAAGACATTGGCTGTCTTTTATACAAAAAAGTTAAAAGCCAATTACAAATGTAAGAAAACCAACAGAGAATCTTTCCACTTTACCACCACCCTCCAGCCCCTTCCCAATTCTTCATCACAGATGTCTTGCGGTTCTCTGAATCTGTTACTGATTAAGACTCTGTTTCAAAATGTGAAAATCCTCTCTGGCTACAGGGAATTCATTTGTTACCTAAACTATGACCAGCAATGGATACACCCCCTTTAAAATCGGGGTTCCTCTGCAGAAAAAGTGTATATATTCGGTTCATTTCAGAAGCTACTGTGTCCACGATGGTCTGACAGTAGGTGGGGCTATTGTAAAAGAAGACATCCAGGATTGTATCATTAGTGAAGTGTCTGAGACGATTAATGCTGGGCAGGGTTATCCGTTGCAGATCTCTGAGAGGGGAAAAAAAAAGATTATTTTGAGCAGAAAACCCAAATCTAGTACATTGCTACTTCTAAGCTATTATTTAGCTTACTCTTAAAGTTTAGAGTCAAACATGCAATGTTATAAGAGATATCAGATGAAGAAAAACAGGGGCTTGAAAAAATATGTTTAGTGAAAAAAGAAGAAATCAAGTAGACAACCCAGGTTCTTCAATACAGAAATTGGGGTTGGGGAGAGAAAAAAAGAAAAAGAAGAGAAATACAGAGGTAAGGTATGGAGACTAGAGACATGCTATTTGAGGCTGATGGATCTCTGAGTTTGAGGCCATCAGGGTCTATAGAGCAAGTTCCAGGACAGCCAAGGCTATGCAGAAAAACCCTGTCTTAAAGAAAACAAAACAAAGAACAAAACAAAAGAAAATGAGAGAGAGAGAGAGATCATTTAAGTTCAGTGCACTGACTTTGTTTGGATCTCAGTTTAGAAAAAATAAAAATGACAACCCATTACTTTGTAGCCCAGGATGCCCTTGAACTTGTTATTCTTTTTCAGCCTCTCCAGTAAGGGATTAGAGGTGTACACTGCCATCCTCAGCATGGATTTCAATTTTAAATGTATATATACATCTGTGTTTGTATACGTATATAAAATATTAGTCAGACACTGGAAATTGGAATTATTTCCCTATGAGAATGGCCTTTTACTCCTGAAATTGCCAAAAACATCACCAAGGATTTACCAAGGGGTACCCAGGGGATGAGGAGGCTCAAACATTGATTGGGGGTTGCTAGGAGTTTGGAGTAGGTGGGGGAACCCCAGCTGTCCCTCCTCCTTCTAATGCCACAGAAAAGGGTCCTCTGGTCAGCTCCCCTCCCTGTGCCCCGATATCCAGTTTTTCTCAAGAGGAGGTGGATTAGGGACTTGGGAAAAGGTAAATGCCCAGGAAGGGGAAGGGCACTGGGGAAAGGGTCCAGTTTCACATGTATTCACAGTGCCGATCTCCCAGGGAGCAGAAATTAGGAAAGTTGGCTGAATCAGACTTCCCTCTTGCCCTGGATTTGGAAATCTGAATGCTAACTAGAAATGATACTTTTCTTTTTTCTTTTTTTGAGACAGGGTCTAAGTAGCCATGATTATCCTGGATCTTGCTGTGCAGATCAGACTGGCCTCAAACTCACACAGACCTTCTGCCTCTGCCACCTCAGTGCTCAGATTAAAGGCATGTAATACCACAGCCAGAAGAGGGTGTGAGGTCCCTAGAACTGGAGTTACAGGCAGTTGTGACTACCTACTATGTAGGTGTTTGGACCAGAACTTGAGACCTCTGCAAGAGTAGCATGTGTTCTTAACCACAGAGCCATATATTCAGATACTTTTCCCCCAGAACTGAGAACTGAACATGAGGTCTTGAACTAAATCCGCAACCCCACTAGATACTATTTTCTTTATCATAATACAATTTATTTATGGTTATTACAGATTTAAAATTGAGTCTCCTTTTCAAAGAGTAGCCAGTGTATCAGTTAACCAACTAAATTATCATCTTTGAATAAGAAACCAAAAATAAAGGCAACATTTTAAAAAAGAAAATTATAGGTCAAAACAAATGATGATTCTTCCTTGTTTCAAAAAATTAAACATCTAATGTGAAATAGAAAGGTTAATTACTTGGTAAAAATAATGCACATCTATTTACTTACTTACTTATTTATTCAAAGACAGGCTTTCTCTGTGTACAGAGATCTACCTGCCTCCGTCTCCTGACTGTTGGATTAAAGGCAGGTAATACCACTGTGCCCAGCTATGAATGCACACCCTACCTTAAAATACTGGAAGGCTCACAAAATCAACTAACCTGGGCTCACGACTTGTAGAGACTGAACTGACAACCAGGAAGCTTGCATGAGACTGACCTAAGCATTCTGCATATATGTTACAGTTATGTAGCTTGCTCCTCTTATGGGGCTCCTAACAGTGGGAACGAGGGCTGTCTCTGACTCTTTTATGGCTTTTGAGACCCTACTTTTCATAACAGGTCATATCCTGCCCAGCCTTAACACATGGGGAGATACTTAGTCTTACTGCAATTTAATATGCCATGCTTTACTGATACTCAAAGGAAACCTGCCCTTTCCTGGATGGAGATGAGGAAGGGATAGGGAGACAAGGAAAGGGAATGGGAGGGGAGGATGAAGTAGGGAGAGGCTGCAGCCAGGATGTAAAATAAACAGATAAATTAAAAAGAAAAAAATCAAACTGTGGTGGGCCTGATGGTGGTGGCATATACCTTTAATCCCAGGAAACTGGGAGGCAGAGGCAGGGGGATTTCTATGAGTTTGAGGCCAGCCTGGTCTACAAAAGCTAGTTCCAGGACAGACAGAGCTATTACACAGAGAAACCCTGACTCAAGAAACAAATAAAAAAGCTATGGTGGGGAAAAAAAAATCCCTCCTTAATTATATAGAGATGTAAAATGAATCCAAGCAGACTTTTACTGCTAAACATGAAAGTTTAGAGACCCATACATTACTAATAGGAATGTTAAGCCTTCCTGTATTTTTTCATTTTATTTCCTAGTTCAACAAAAATCATAATACTTCTATAATATGCTACATATAAAAAAATCAATAATTTCCCTGGCTAAAAGAAACTTAAGGAAAATCCTACAAACAATGAAGTATGATCACAATGTTCTCAGAGCAGAAATGTGCACCTTAAATTTCCAAATAGGAGACTGTTTCAACTCGAGAGAGAAAGGATAAAATGTATGACAGTGAGAGGTGGGACTGAACAGACTAAACAGAGATGCTCCACCTCGGCCTGGTCTATCCTGACTCCACCATGTGTAAAGGCAAAGTGGGGCTGCTCATTATCAATACAAGGCCAATAGAAAGCAAGGTACCACTATGTTCCACCATCATTCTTACCTGAAACTGTAAAAAAAAAAAAAAAAAAAAAAAGGAAAAACTGTACTTTACACCTCAAATAATTTCAAAAGAAAATCATTAAACAAGCATTTTAAGTATAGTAGTCTGAGAAAAGAAATAGCTATCTTCTTTTTATATAATTTCTTTTTGTTTTATGTGTGAGGGTGCTGGATCCCCTAATGAACCTTTATACTCATATAAATGCTTAGCTACCTTTTAAATAATTCTCTTGAACTGTTTCTGAATTTGAAGCTTATTGAGCCATTCTCTGCTGAGTTTTAAACAGCCAGTACTTATTCAGTGTTCTGCTGTACTGTGATTATATATACTGACTTTAAGAATTATCTAATGGAGCTGGGCATGGTGGCACACACCTTTAATCCCAGAACTCAGGAGGCAGAGGAAGGTGGATCTCTGTGAATTCAAGGCCAGCCTTGTCCTACAAAGGAAATTCCAGGAGAGCCAGGGCTACAAGGAGAGATCTTGGCTCAAAAAAACAGAAAAAAAATGTTTTGGGGGGGTTAATTATAGAATTATAGAGGGCTGGAGAGATGACTCAGTAGTTAAGAGAACTGGCTGCTCTTTGCAGAGGACTTGGATTTGCTTCTTAGAACCCACATGGTGGCTCACAATCATCCATAATTCCAGGTGCAGGGGATTTGATGCCCTTTCTGGTCTTCTTGGGTACCAGATATACAAGTGGTTCATAGATAGACAGAAAGGCAAACATTCATATACAGAAAATAATAAAGAAAGCTCAAATATAGTTACAGAATGAAGTTCCCACAGTGGCCACTGGTTCAGGCAGTCAATTCATGACATTAATTTTAACAATGGGATGGGAACATTATAGATGAAACTAAATGCATGTGCTTGTGTTGGCAAATTGTAACTAGCTTCCAAAACCACAATCAACTCCAATTAACATTGGTTTTAATAACATTAAGAATATTATAAGACCTGGCATACTGGCACACACACCTTTAATCCCAGCACTCCAGACAGAAGCAGTCAGATCTCTGGAAATTCAAGGCCAGCTTGATCTACATCAAGTTTAAGCCAGGCAGGCTACATAGTGAGACCCTGTCTCAAATTTTTTTTAAAAGAATGCTGCTTAAGCTAGGCATGGCAGATTATCAATCAAGCCTGGTACTGGAAACCTAGTTAAAAGTCCATGGTCCAGGAGTCAAAGACATAGGAAGGAACCGACTATGTTATTTTGCTACATGGATTAATGCTGACTTCATCCTTGGTAACAGGTGCTCTTCTGCACTGGGCAGCAGTTCAGAGATTTATAACTGGCCAAATGAAAGAACCGGTGACTGTTGGGTGCTCAAACCTACACGGGACTTCTATAGTAACCCCCCCAAAGCTCTGGGAACAATGCAGAAGAGAAGGCAGAAGATGCGAGAGCTAAAGGCAAGGGAGAGATGCTGGGAAATGCTGTCTTCTGCACATGATGTGGCTGCTGCCCTCCTGAACTCACTGCAGTCATGGTTACACAGAATTAAAAATAATAAATCAGCAATATCAGTCAACATTCCATCAAACAGCAGTAACTGGATGTAGTGAGTTACACACAAAAGACATGAAGGTGGGAAGGGACCTATTGGAGATAAACAGGACAGTGGAAGGGACATGTTGCGAGTAAACATCATCAAGATACTCTGCATACATATATAAAATAGTCAAAGAATAGAAAAAAGATTTTTTTCAAATGTGTGATGACGAGACCATAGCTCAGGATGCTTCCCTAGTAGCATGCACCAAGCACTGCATAACTGACTAGGTGTGGCGTGCCTGCAATCCTAGCACTGGAAGTCTGAGCAGGAGGATCAGGAATTCAAGAGTTTTTGAGCTAGCATCTCATGTAGACTAGACTGACCTTAAAGTTGCTATCTGCTAAAGACGACTTTGAACTCTTGCTCTTCCTACTTCTACCAGACTAGGATTAATGGCATTTGCTACCAAACTAGGTCTCAGGAACATTTATTTGGTAATTAAATCTTTAAGAATTTTGTGTATAAATGTAGTATATTTTGTAGAACATTTTGAATGGTATTGATTTACTGGATAAATTGTACATATTAAAAAATAATATATATCAGGGTTTCTTGAACTTGTGATCCCTCTTCACCAAAATATGCTTAAGTGACCCCAGGTATGTAGGTGTATAAAGTATATATCATACACTCAGAGACTCCAGGTATGTACATACATAAAATGAGTAAATATCATATATTCAGAGACCCTAGGTATGTAGATATATCAAACATTCACTAATAGTAAATAAAAATTCTTTTAAAATAAATCTTTGATAGCATCCAATTTTATCATTAAAGATAAAAGCAAATTTGCATACTAATATGATAGACATGCTTATTTATTTTTATATGAAAAATGCTAGACTAGTGAGATGGCTTAGTAGTTAAGTGTTTAACTACACAAACCCCACGGTGGAAGGAGAAACTGCCTTCTAACATTTGTCCTCCTTGGACTAACACATGTACACTACAGAGAATGTGGCTGCATACAAACATGTACATGCTCGTGCACACACATACACACACCTGTAGTTATACGTAAAGGATTTCTTGGGGGGGGGGTGTCGTTTTGGGTTTTTTTTTTTTTTTTTTTTTTTAAAGGTCTCTCTACAGGATGGCCTGAAATTCACTATGTAGACCATGCTGGTCTTGCACTCAGTCTACCTGCCTCAGCCTCCTGAGTGCTACAATTAAAGGCATGTGTTATCACATAAGGGACAATTCTTTACTTTTAACTAGAGAAATCTAAAGACAAAGAACTGACCATCACTTAATGATACATCTCTGAGAAATTATATAGTGGTTGCTTCTACCGCACATATACTAAAATTAGAATGATACGCAGAAGATTAGCATGCACACTGTACGAAGATGACATGCAAATTCAGGAAGCATTCAATGTTTTTTTAACCACAAATTTGATCTGATGTATGCCAAGCAGGCCTTTATACACTGGTAAGTGGGGGAAGGCACGCAGGCAAAACACTCATACATAATTAAAGAAATATAAAAGCTCCACACTGAAGCTGTACACCGTAGTACAGCACATGTCTGATGTCAGTACTGGGATGCTAAGGAATGAGGATCAAGACTTCAGAGTCAGCATGGGCTACATAGAAAACCCTATCAAAAAGAAAGGCTGTGTTGGGAGAAGGAGCTAATCCTGCATCATCCACGAATCAATGACCCTCAATGCTGGTGGGCTGGGAATGTGGCTTTGTAATAACAGAATTCTTGCCTGGCATGGGTAAACCCTATGGGTTGATTCTCGAAAACTGCAAAACAGAAAGTACGCAAGAGAGAGAGAGAGAGAGAGAGAGAGAGAGAGAGAGAGAGAGAGACAGACAGAGAGAGAGAGACAGAGAGACAGAGACAGAGACACACCCTTGAGGACATGGCTTTTTTTTTTTTTACAGGACTAAGAGGAGGCTGGTGTGGATCTGTTGGAGGAAAGGGCAAGAAAGAAAGAACACTAAGCTGATGTATAAAAAGATGCTGCTTTCAAGAGAAGCTTATTATTATTATTTGGTGTTTTGAGACAGGGTCTCTCTATGTAGTCCTGACTATCCTGGAATTCACTATGCATACTAAGCTGGCCTTGAACTCACAGAGACCCACTTACCTCCACCTGTCTGCTTCCTGAGTGCTGGGATTAAAGGCATATGCCACCACTGCCAGGCTAAAAATTTTATTTTTAGTACATAATCAGCCATAGCATAAATGTCCTTAAGCATAATGATGATCAGAAAATATTACAATCACAGTTAACAATTTAAGAGTATAAGGAAATACTCACATATCTACCCCAGTAGAATGCAAAGGACTGTGCCAATTGACTGGAAGAAATTCTACTCTTCCAATTTGCTGGTTTTCTTGGGCTTTCTTGAAATGTGTCTGTAGCAGGTTCAAGGAAACACTTCGGAAATCATTAACTAGAAAAGAAAAGTAACTTCTGCATCAACAGTGAAGCAATTCATACACAGACTCGGGATGCAACAAAACATGCAGCAGTTGCTGCCTAATGACGGCTGCTTGGAACACACACTGACTGCAGACTAGCTTAGGAAAACTAAGACATTTAATGAGGAGATGTTCATTTAATATAAAGTTTGGGTTTGCCATACAAAATATTATAGCAAAAAAACTACTGAATGGTGGTGGTGCACGCCTTTCATCCCAGCACTAGGGAGGAAGAGGCAGGCCGATCTCTGTGAGTTCAGGCCAGTCTGATTTACAGAGTTCCAGGACAGGCTAGCTAACAAAAAAAAAAAAAAAAAAAAAAGACATCAAAATTGTGTCAATAAAATGGTTTCATTTTTTAAATCACATGACTCCATGTCAAGAATCTTAAAATAAAATCAGGCTGGAGAGATGGCTCAGTGGTTAAGAGCACTGGCTGCTCTTCAAGAGGTTCTGAGTTCATTTCCCAGCAACCACATGGTGGCTCACAGCCATCTGTAATGAGATCTGGCGCCCTCTTCTGGCCTGCAAGCATACATGGAGGCAGAATGTTGTATACATAATAAATAAATAAAATCTTT